GAAGTGCCCCAGACTTCAGGCCCATCCTGGGGTGCTGAGCCCCCACCCCTGTTTGCAAGCCCCTCGGAATTCCCAGCTTGGTGACAGACACCTGCCAGTGCCTGACAAGACCCGACAAGCCCCTCAAGGTGCCAGGGCTGGGCTTTGGCTTTGCAGGGTCACCCAAGGAGAAGACGGGCTCAGTGTCTTCGCAGCTGCACGGAGAGGGCAGGGCAGGAGCGCTGGCCTCCACTCCTCCATCCCGCACCTGCAGGGGAGATGGAGCCTGTATTTTGAGGGTCTGCCTCCAATGCTCATTTGTGAAAAATTAAAACTGATTTTTCAAAAATGGGATGCCTCAAGTCGTCCCAAGGGTCCGGGCTCTCTGTTCCTGACTGTCTCCGGGTTTGGACCCAGTGGGCTATCCGGACGCCAGCTGGTGTTGTCCCCCCAGCCTGATCCCGAGCCTCACATCCCCTCCCGGCCTCTGCCCACCAAGGCAGCAGTGGGCTCAGGGTTCGGGTGGGCACAAGGTGGTCACACTGCAGTGAGCCTGGCGGACGTGGACAATTACAGACTTGGTGACCTCCATGTCCAAGATCACAGTCCCTAGATGGGCCTATGGATTCTGACCCCCCACCCAGTCCCAGGATGGGGAGACCTTTTCCTGGCGAAACCTTCTCCCCACGCGGTGTGCCAGAGTGACCGCCAGGGGACCAGGTGGAACTGTCCCGTTTAACCTGCCCTGTGACCATCACCCCACGAACAGCTGTGCCAGGCACTGGGTCACACGTGGCACCCTGTTTTTGCTGAACACTCAACACTCTCAGCTCAGGAGCAACTGTTCACCTTACAAATGCACCAAGCCAGCGACAGGTGACACAGCCACCCCTCTGGTTGGTCACACTCTCATGCCCAGTGGCCATCGGCCAGACCGCTCGGGTCTGCAGGCAGGCGTTCCGGGTCTCTCAGAGAGAGGGGAGAGGGCACTGCTGGTACTTAATTCATCACAGTTAAGCCATTCAGGCTGGAATTGAAAGCTCTGGCCACATGGGGACCACACGGGGGCCATGTGACCATGGCACCGGAGAGGCCCTGCACCCAGCACTCAGGTGCCCAGGGCCTGAAGCCCACCCCAGACACCTGTGAGAAGGCCCAGCACAGCAGCCCCCGCCCCGTGCAGAGTGGCACGCAGCTCACGAGGCTCTGCACGTGTCCCAGCCGTGATGCATTATGCAACCCCTGTATCAGGCAGTCCTGGGTCCTCGGCTTCCAGCACCCCTCTCAGACACGCCCGCGGGGGAGTCCAGCCTGGAGTGCTGTCGCCAACTCTACTCACAAGTGCCCCTGCCCTGCAGGCAGGCCCAGAGGCTGAGCTGAGCCACCTGCACGCCTGGTCTCCGGGTGGTAACACCTGAGGAGAGATGCCACGCTGGCCCTCCTGTTTGGGCCCTGCCACCAACACCCTCCTCTCAGACATTTTCTTACTTGTAAAAACAACTGTCCCAACCAGGACATCTGAACCCCTGGGGCCCTGGGCTGAGGGGACAGGGCCAGGGGCAGGTGTCTGGGCACGCCCAGTCAGCACCTCCAGGATATGTGGTGGCAGGTGAGCGAGGGCGCCCTGAAGGAAAGTGGGTTTGCGGTGGGCACCCGGCTGCCCCTGCTCCCTGCAGAGGGGCTCCGCAGCCCTGCACATCTACACAGCTGGGGGAGGGGTGCGCTTTCTCCTCTCCCCTTTTCCTATGTGCCCGGAGCTTGAACCATTCCCAGCCCAAAGTGAAGCTGGCAGGAGAGGCAGAAAGGCAGACCGCTGTGTGTGCACATGCATGTGCAAGCACATGGCACGAGTGTGCATGAGAACAATCAGCTATTTTATATCTTGACGAATGCTGAACTTGCCCCACGCCTGGGGTTAGGTGAGCAGGGTTGCTGCAGCCAACTGACCTGGCCCCGGACACAAAACAGCTCTCACCACCACCCCAAGTCCAGTCAGGAAACCCTCAGAGGGTCCCAGCCCAGAGGGCCCAGGGGAAGGCAGCCATGCCTGACACCCACATTTCTAACCCATTCCTGCAACGCCAGCTCCCACTCTGAGAGGAAACGCAAACCCTAGGGGAGCTTCGGTGTCCCGGGGCGCGCACAGCAGGTCCTCAGTAAGGCTGGGGCCAGCGCCAGCTCGGACCGCAGTGGCCACGGGCCTTTCCGGCACTGGCTTCCGAAGGGAACGGGGGGCCTCTTCCAGCAGCTCAGATGCTGCCCCGGCCTCCAACCCCCTTTGGAGAAGACAGTAATTGATGAGACAACGGCTCTAGCCCCGGCATCAGGCGATGTCTGGGGACGAGTCTGGTTGTCACAGTGGGAAGCAGGCATGCCTGGTGGGCAGAGGCCAGGGATGTTGCCAACCGTCCAACAGCACAGGGCAGCCCTCCCCTCCCCCAGCAGAGAACTGTCTGGCCCAGCTGTCACAGAGTGGAGGCTGAGACACGCTGGACTGGAGAAGTGTCACACGCGAACAGCAGGTGCCAGACAGACACCGGCCCTGGGTGCCCAGCGAGCCTCGAGTGTTCCGGGACATTCGTTTGAACAGGTCAGGGGAGAGGGACTGGGATCTGAGTGATAAAACTCAAAACTGAGAAAAAAGGGAACTGTCCCCATAGATAGCACCACGGAGGTGGGTCCAGGGCAGGGAGCCTGGAGCTGGCCTTGCAGAGCACGCAGAGGCAGTCTGTCCGGACAGCACGTGCAGCATCTGTGCCCACAAAAGCTGCAGGCACAGGGGCGGGGGGCGCATTTCTGAGACACAGAAGTGTGCTGGGTCCTCTCCTCCAACCCCCGCTGCCCCCTGTGCTGCTGCCTCCCCCCACATCCGGCTTTTTAAAAGAACAGCATCTTTCCCTGTGCGTTGTGTCTGGGAAGGCGATTCCCATCCTTGACTCAGAAAAGATGGGGCTCCAGCAGTGATGCACCGAAGCCGAGCCCATCCCACCAGGCGGGGGCCGAGTTCCAAATGAGACAGCAATCCGGAGGGGTCTACTGTGATTGGCGATCTCAATGTCTACGAACCAAGGGTGCGAACCCCTGCTGTACCATGGTTCCCCAGGCCTGAAATTCAGGGCAACTGAAGCTCACAGAGCACAGGCTAGGCTGCAGGGGCGGGGAAGCCACGTCCAGGCTGAGACCTCTGGCGGGCTCTGGAGCCCAGAGAACATTTCTCTAAAGACTGGAATCTTATACCTTGACCATTATGGTCTCATTTTTAGAAGAAACTAAGGCCCAGAATAGCTTGAGGGATCTCATAAGATCAATCTCCTTTTGCAGGAAGGTGTCAGAAAGGAGGACCCACATGGACACTGCCCTGAGGTCCAGCTTCATGTCCCTCTCTAAAGTTCTAGCTGTAAGCCACGGGCAAAATGTCTGAGGGGAATAGCAGCCTTGCCGGGCAGCTCCTCTCCTTCCCTCCTTCCTCTCGCTGGGAAGAAACTCCAGGAAACACCAGGCCCTAAGGCCTCCTTGCCCTTGTCTTCCAGGGAAATCTGATTAACACTTGCAGCATGCCACATTATACCTGCATTTTTAAGACTGGTCCCTCCCTGCCTGCCAGCTTGCTCCGCTAAGTAGGATGTGTCCACACAGAGCAGGCCAGCACCCAGGCCAGCTGCGACAGGCCAACTCTCCAGCCACTCACCTCAAGGGTCCCACTCTGGGGGAGCACAAGCCTGGAATTTAGCAGGACGCCTTGGTGTCAGTCCAAATGTCCTTAGGGCTAATCAGCCGAGAAAGGGACAAAAGTCAGAACATGCACATTAAAAGTCCTGAATGTAAAGAGAGGCCCAATTTTCAACTGCATCCGTCCTTGGAGTACGGCCACACAGGAACGTGGGTACCCCGGGCAGGAGGTGGCATCACAGGCTGAGAGGGTGAAATAGGCACCAAGGTGCCTAAGAGTAGCCCACCCAGCACGGGCCTCCCCCGAGGCTGGAGTAGCCCACCCAGCATGGGCCTCCCCCAGGCCAGCGGTGCCCGCAGCACCCTCCTGCCTGGCATCAGCCTCCTTAGTTCACAGAGGGCCTCTCGGGAGCAATCTGGTTTGATGCAAGTGGATTCCGCAAACCTGGCAGTGGGCAGGTACTCCCAGCACCTCGCTGGCCTGGCACAGGGCCGCTGCGGGTGGTGGCGTGGGGGGAGAGCAGGGCTCTCCAGGGTGGGCGGGAGTGGGGCCAGGTGGAGGGGAGGCCCCTTCATGCCCCTGGCTCCCCACAGGGCTGCATGGGTTATTTTTACCTCCCCGCTCTCTGTACAGGCTCAGGGGCCCAAACTGTGGTAGGTGGCTGCACCTGCCTGCGGAAGCAGCTTCTGACTCACCCAGCGGCTGCCCTCACCCTCCTCCCGGCTGGAGGGGGCTGACCTGGGAGGGAAGGCTGTGCTGCTCTGGGGCCTGGGCGGTGTGTGGCAAAGATGGGGAAAGCTCAGAGAGGCGGGCGGGGGGGGGGGGGGGGGGAGGGGTGTAGGCTAGAAGCCAGAACCTAAGGGGCTGAGGGTTCAATTCCCCCCCCAACCAAATGTCTGCCTGGGTGTGTGCAGGAAGGAAGCAGAGCTCCGTCCCGTCTGGGTGCACAGGGCGCTCAGGGAGCCCCAGAATCAGATGCGCCACTCCCCACCCTTAGTCCTCCGCCCCTGGCAGTCCCAAACACAACAGCCCCAAACTTTGACTCATTTGTAACCGCCGTTCCAGCCAGACTGGGGCCAAGCTGTCCAGACGACAGAGGCTATTTGTAGGTGAGTCGGGGACAGCCACTGCACAATGACACATACCCGGATCCACGCTGGGCCAGATGCCCTGATCAGACACCTGGACACCAACAGCCCCCAGACCCCCAGAGCAGGGCACACACTCAGGAGGAGGCCCCCAGACACCAATGCAGACACACAGGGCTGGAGGCCGCTGGGGGCTCAGCCCCACAGACACCCAGAGCGGCACACCGAGCCCCACACTGTGAGCCCCACACCGGGCCACGTACCCTCCCGGACGCTCGGAGCCCCAGACAGCCACGCAGACACGCGTACTTCACAGACGTCCGGAAAACCACTCGCAGAGACGGAGACACAACGCCGCAAGCACTCCAGACACACGCCCGGTGCCCCAGACACCTCGCAGACCAGACAGTGTCTGACACGCCCCCCCAGCCCAAAGTTGATAAAGAGCTGGCCTAATTGCTTCATCGCGCCCGCCCCTTAGGGGAATAAAATGGAAACTCCGCGGATCCGCCCGCCCTAGTCCTCCGG